CAGGATATCATCAAACTTTGGCTCGATACCCTCATCCTCCATACGGGAGCTTATCTTCACCCACTTCCTTTGCAGTCGAGTAGGTAGGCGTCTTGCTATTACTTCTAGTATAAAACTCGAGTTGAGGTCACTCATTCGAATCATCGAAATCATTCCATTCTTGTAAATCAGCAAATTATCTAAAAACTCAGTGAGTGCCTGGGAGTCATCCTGTAATTGACCATTATTACCCTTAACAGCCTCGAATAATTTCCCTGCAATCATCGAAAATCTTCCAAACCTTTGACGTAATATGCTCATAGCCTCGTAGTAGCCCTCTTTTGGCTTCATAAACTTACAGCACCGTATAGCTCTTGCAGCATCTCCAGTGCAATATCTCATCAAATACATTAACTTCAATTCGTCACTTAATAGAAAACTACTCAACATGATCTCAAACTCCTTTACAAATTGTAAATAATCAGCCGGGTTTCCATCAAAACACCGTGGTTCAAATTTAGGGAGTTTGATGTTCCTATTATCCCTGAACGGCGAAACAGTAACATCAACCATGTCATGCTTAACATCAGACACATCGTTACAATTAACAGACAAGTCACCATGACTTACTTTCCTGTTTGCATCCAAGACGCTCTGTCCCTTCTTTGACCCAGGCATTGTTGAACTTGACCCAATTCCAAAAAGTTCCAGATATTGCTTGTTCAAAGAGGACTTGACCGGCACCGGGAAAGATGAACGGCGTCTATCCAAACTTTCACCAACTGTTTGAATCCGCCAGATCTGTTTCTATCGTCAGAAACTGTCAGCCAAGTCTCATAAACCGTTAATGCCCAGCTCTCGCCACGCTCGGGCCCACGCTGTTCTTAGAAGTTTTCTCAGAAACGCTTAGTTATAACGGACGCGAAAACCAAAACACCGATCTGCCGTTTGATATTTCTGTATTGTTACACCAACATATAAAAGGAATAAGCGAACTAAGCAAACTAAGGTCTGTGAACAAATATTACCATAATAAATCATTGTTACTTCTGACGATATTTTACTCTTCTTTCTGAACAGCGACCGATGAGACGATGACTGTCGTATTGATGCCTCCGCGAAAATTGGGGAAGTTGATTTTGAGCAAACAACCAAGAATTGATCGTTCAATCTTCAACTCCATTGACACCAACAATAAGTTTATTACACATTGTCTAAGAATAAACGTCTTTTCTGTCTTCCCAGACACCATTTTCAGCTAACACTATAATATGAAGTGCAGTTCTTCCGAATTCTTCATCAATCATATAATTATCCAACCTGATGGTCTTGGTTTTGATTACCTGTTAAATTATGCCGATATCGGCGGTTTCCTTGATTTAGGAATTAACGGATATCATATGTTCTGTTGTTCACTGCTTGATAAATCAGTTGCGCTATATTGTTTGTTAAATGTGGATTGTTTTTAGCATTGCGCTTCTGTGAATTCACGCTTTTTGGTGTTTCCTTTTCTAGGTGGTCAAAATGTTTCCAGCCCGATAAGTGTCCATATTTGTCATCATGCACTGACACGACAGAGTGGATACCATGTCTTCTGACAGCCAAGCTATGCTCGTGTATCTGAAGATGAAGATGACGTCCACTCTGACCAACATAGCGTCCTTTGACAGTTGTCACATTTTACCTTGTTTCTGTTTTCGGATTTGTCTTTTTGTGTAATTGTATCCTGTGGTAGCAACACATAGATTGAACCGATTTTGAACGCCTGTAAATGAAATATACCCCCAGAGATCTCAACAACCAAGTAGTGATTTCTGAAATGTCCTTCAGTTTTGGCAGGATCTCTCTGTTTGTGTCTTCACTAAATGATTTTGAGTTTGTCGGCTGACTTGATGGTGGTTATCTTTAAATGCCGTTTCGTGGACACATTTTTCTGACTTACTCTTTCCAAGCCTGGAGCGCTGCAAGGGGTTCCGGCTGTTTAGAATAACGTTTGTACACAAGTCCCATTATGTCACGTCGGACTGCTATTGTTTTAATGAAATACTCGATCTTTGTGAAACAATGTTCTACAAACTTGCTTCCAACTTTCCTGTAGTTGTTCCCTAGACCAAGAGGTCTGAAAATAAGAAGACATGTAGCGTCGGTGAATCTTGATATATGATGAAGTAACGAGAAAAGTGTGGTTGATCTTATTCCAAATTTCACTGACTATCACCATAATGATTTTCATCTTCTATATAACCTGTCATTTTGTATGAATTGGTTAGATATCATTCTGATTCTCAAATGTGCATTACTGAAGCATACCTGTCACTGCTCACTACTAAAGTATTGATACTTTTTCTAACATTTAACTGCACTGAATAGTGTGGTGAGCCGCCTGCAGTCAGTTACGCTGTGGACATTGTAATCAGTAAGCCAACTATTGTTTTACACTAGCAGTCTGACGACTGTAGAAATAACCCGCAATACTGACTGCTTGTGACTCAACCTTTAGAAAACACGCATCCTTCACCGGATTTTAGGTAGACTTGACACCCAAGTGTACACTGTGTGTATTCATTTCGATCTCACAAATAAGGTGTGAGAGGTTAGATTTCTTAGTTACCTAACACACTGTAACAACAGAAGACAAGGGCCAAGCAACAGATCGTTTATAATAGAAATCAACACATTTAAGGATTTTCATGTACATATTATAGATTATTGTCAGTAGAAAGACACAGATCTCTGATTGGTTTTTCTCACTTGCATCTCTTTGTGGCTGTTTTTTGAATGTCAGATCATCTATGTGTTAACTGTAACCGCCTACGCAGAGCCTTTGCTCTCATTTTTGGGGACATAAACATCGACGTAAATTACTGTCCACCAATTTTGGCTAACGGTCAGCTCTCACCACAACACTTCCATAAACTATTTTACTTCTAACTGCCACACTTTCTGACAAACAAATGGGCCGCCATCATCCAAATGGGCATAAATATATCTGAATGGTAATCTGAAGGTCAAACCCAAGGGCCTGCTCTTACGTAGCATGACTGAATACCAAAAAGCGTATTCTTTCGATTTCTCCGAGTACAAACAACCATGTTCTTTACTTTTTGTTTTGACATCTAAGTCTGATAGGTTTTCCAAAGAATGGATGGTAGAGGCCTTTATAATCTTGAACACTGCTCACAATACGGATCTAGCAGACCCTCAGTATGCGGAGCACTTTAAGAAAGTTAACATAAGAGCTTCTTTCCACTACTTTTATTCACCTCAGCTTCCTGCTAATGCCAAGAACTTGTGTGAATTCGTGGCAATATTGCTTTTCTTATATATGACTGAAAGTGGGGAACTTTAGCTGCCCATTATATAAAGTCACCCGGCTAGATTTAGAGCTAACAGTTACGAATATTTGATTTGATATTCTTGTCAACTTAATGAGTGATAGTTCTGTGCCAATCTATACCAACTTTAAAGTCCCTTTTTGTGCTTCTTGTGCACCAAAAGTACCTCAAGATCTCCCACATATCTCTCTTACACGTTACGCAAATTACGCTAAGAATACATGTTTCTCAAAAATTATTTTCTTTAAATTGTCGTCCGGGCGAAACAACAAGAGTACTGGCATTTCGTACAGACTTACGTGTTTTGATCAAGTCGTTCATTTCTCAAGACAGCATGCATATAAATGCTTGAAGATGACATGTTTATTGTGACGTGCTTTTGAATACAAATGCCATACTTATAGATTAGGTGGTCGGATAGTAATTACTCGGATTGGATATGCTTCTGGTATTACGCGTCTTGGCTCTGTTGTACACTTACATGACATGAGCTAATTAATACTTTTTCAAAAGATCAAGAAAGAAATGTAACAAATCTATGGTTCATTTTCGGAATACAAACCTCCTATAGGTGATTAGCTGTTCCTGCCACGGTGCAACATTACCGATGGCAAAACACGTTATATCACTCAGAACTACGCACTCTGAATTCTACTGTATAAATGACAGCATTTTCAGTGATAAAAATGGTTTGAGACAAATTGGCTTTACTAACTTAGAGGCTAATAAAACTGTGTAGATATTTTACGACGGTCAATAATGCAATGTTAAAAGTTTTGCACTGTATCTTGAAAGCTAATCATCATTCAATGGAAAACGATCAACGATAGTATTGTGGGAGATGTCAGCCCCATGTATTCACTTACTGCACTTGCTTATAGTTCCAAACAGGCGGATTCTGAAAGAATTTTCTGCAATCATGGAATGAATTCGTGGGAAAAAAAGAAATCTCGAGAGGTTTCGGCTCCACCATCCGGTTGTTAACGGATAAGCTACTTTACGATGATTACATTAAGTGGAAGTATTCACAGATTATTCAACAGTTTGGTGGAACTGAGACCTTACATTCAGGAAAGCGGGCCAAAAGCTTATTTGTGTTATCAAAGCTTTGAACGACTAAAATCTAGTATGCATTTTGTGACATACTGCTAATCAATCAACTGTACTTAGTTTCTCGCCAAAGAATCCATCGGATTGTTGACATAAGTATAAAACTTGGGCACTGTGGTAGAGCATGACTCCATTATGGATAAGATTTTATTTTGATAAATCACACAGTGTTGTACAGTAATATTACTGTACATAATATTACCTTACAACACTGTGTGATTTATTAAAATAAAATCTTATCCACAATGGAATCCAACGAATGCTGTAGAAATTAATTGTGAACCCGTCTATCATGATATGCAGACTGTGGAGGGATTTTTGCGGATTCAGTTTACTCGACACCACGCACCTGTGAAGAGATACCGTTAGGAGTCTGTTAATTTGACACTAAGTCACTTCAAACTAATGGTCCGTGGTTAAGGTAAGAAAGGAGGCAAAGGAAAACAATTTGGTGTTATCTTTACTAAAAGAATAATAAATTAGTTAGTAGAAAACATTTCATAACTTTTAAAAATTTGTTTTAGGTTTCCTACTTCAGTGATAGTTCACTGTGTATTGTTGCCTACGTTTGTTTTAATGCTCTGATTTATGAAGCTTTGGTAGGCTATGAACGCTGGCTCACTAATCAAGAACGGGCAACGCATGAGCAAGATTATTTATGGGTATATTAACAAGTCTCTACCTCTCAAGAAAGGATTCTAGGTCTTTAAAGAAATAAAATTTGCATATGAACCACTTAATAATCTAATTGAACTGCAACAACTGAATTCTTCACAATGATAATAGTCGATAACTTTCCCGTCAATAATAACACCATAGGGGATAAAAGAATCAAAAGTACTCTGATGCCATCTGAAAACAGAGAAATTACTGTCATAAATAGTCCTAAACCAGTCGGCGATACTCGCAATGTGGCACTAGAAAAAAGTATAAATTTTCTTAAAAATCAACATGATGTCATGCTGAAAGGATTACATCAGGAAGTCGAATCCTTGAAAAAGATAAACAAAGGTGTTTTTCATTTTCATGTACTTTATTTTTATCAGACTTGCAATACCGCCTGGTTATGTGCACGTGTTCTGCTGGCGAAAAGATGTTTACAAGTTAAGTTAACCTAATATGCTTAATTTAATAATTAGGTAAACCAATAGAGAGAGACGAAACGTCTTTAAAAAAGGAAATACTGGCTCTTCAGGCAGACCTTGAGAATGAAAAAAGGAAGAATACATCTCTGATTAAACAACTTGAAGCATTACAGGTGTCTCAAAATTTACCAAAGGGGTAAGCTACTTCATAAGAAGTAACAAATTTGGTTCCATTAGGTTGACAAAGTAGAAGCAGACATCTTTTAAGGACTTAGTTTCAACTTTTTCTGCCCATAATTTAGTGTATTTTGTGATATTTCACTCGACTGAAAAGTTTGTATTCAAAACATGCTTTCCTTGTGTCGGTTGTTTCTTAAAAATGAAACAGGTGGAAACTTCACTTTTCTGTCTATCATTCTAAATTCATGCTTATACCTATGAGACTCAGTTTTTCAGTTAAACTACACTACTCTAATTCTCATGCATTCCAAATCCTTTATTTGGTTAAACTAAGTATGACTGGTTCTTTTAAAATGCTCTCAGATGCCTGGCTATATTAGCTTACAAAACATTGCTTGCATTGCAGACAAACAAATGTATTATTACATCAATCATCTATCTTAGATAATAATGTATCGATAAATATTCATTTAAATTTAACTGAGAGTTAAGACAAAACTAACTAGATAGTGAAGAACTTGTGACCTAGAAACTCATTTATATCCGCAACTTTTCAGTATAATGTGATAAGTGCAGAGTTCGGCTATCTTTAAAGCCACGCTCATTTCTGTTTGCTTTCTTTTAATTCCTAAATTAGACTTCCAAGGTACAAATGTAAAGATGAAATATTAACAAACTCTTCGGAGCAAAAGAATTCTACAGATGCATGTGAAGTACCCGAGAGTTTGCGTAACGACCGGGACCGGAATGATAGTGGAGGAGTTTTGGAGGAAAACCAAGGAGTTTGTAGTAAATATGTCGATGTAAGTCCTCTTTACTTTTAATTCCATCTAACTTTAACAATAAGTGTACAGATTTCAACTTTGTGTATATTATTCATTATTTCAAAATTTTTGCATTTCTTAATGAATAAAAACAAAGCAATGTCATCTTTATTGATTTTCCGCTATTTAGTGCTAACACCTTTATTAAAGTAACATTTTTGTGTGTCGTATGGATAAACCGTTGTCACGATTCATTTTGTACTAGTTTGTATTTATCACACTAGGTAGATTCATTTGGCTTAACACACAGTGAGGAGGTATCAATAATTGGATGACTTTTCAAGCACAACTTGCTGCTCATAATTACATATATTTAGTCCCACAGCTTCATAATTTGCTTTGTATATATTTTCCAGTCTTCCCCTTGTTGTTTGTTTCCACTTTCCATATCTCCAGTATAGGTTTTGCGTCATTTTGATTACAAGCCTGTGGCGTTGAATTGGCGAAGGACGATTCAATGGTTGAACTCTCTCTCCACCTAACCATATCGCTTTTTATTAATTTTACCCTGTCCCACCCTATTGTGTGATTGCATACAGGTGAACACAATGCAGTAGCCGAGTTTTTTCTAGCTTATTTAACTCAGCAAGGTCAATCATGCTAAACCTAGCTAAATTTTTATGTTCCGATAATCTAATTCATTTCAATCTAATAGTCTGACCTATATAACTAACCTCACATTCATTACATCGTATTTGGCAAATTATATTATTTTTCCTAATTGAATCTATCGGGTCCTTAAGCTGAACTCATTTAAAATTAATTTGCTAAAGTTTTGTGAAACCAATTAAATGAATTTATATCCTTTACCTGGAATAATTGATATCAAAGACTAATAAACTATCTCCCTAAAAAACTTTTAATTTCTTATTACCTACCTATTGGATAATTCAAATTGTGAATGTAACTCAAAAACGCATTGTTAAAAAAACCAGTTACTAACGTATACCTAAATAACCAAGCAACTTTATTTATAGTTGTATAATACTACAAATTAAACAACTTATTTAAGATATATAGAACATGATTCTGTTTATTTTTCTATAACAGCTACATGCAAAATAGCCACCTGAGCCTTTTGTTCTATATGACCAGGAATAATTCATTTTTGATAGTGATGATGAACGAAGGGGACCTCTCTGAAACACCTTACTTTTAAGCCATTATTCTCAAAAATCTAGAATTTTTCTTGGTACCACCGTGAACAAAATGAAGTGTGTGTGTATTGTTTTTCATCATTACTTAACAAAATTAAAGATGTACTATTTGTTATGGTCCTAGGAATTCAGACTAAAGGAGTAATAAAGATTTTAGAATGTTTTCAATCTGATCTCCTAATACCAATCACTATAATAATGCCATGTATTTTAACTTCATCTGTAATAATTTTCAGTTGTTAAAAAGTTCTTATTTTTGATCATATAGAACACAGAATATCTGTGTAACCAATTCATGTATGTACGTGAAAAAATTGTCTTAAATTTTTAATGTCTACTTGCATTATAATAAAATATAATAACTTCTCAAATTAGTGTGATGAACTCATTTTAAGTGAATTGTTTCTTACCGCTCCCGAAGTACTGCAGAAAATTAGACATATCCTTAAAGCAGCCACGTTATTTCAAGCATTAAATACCTTTGAATTGCGAATTTACAAAAGCTGATGATAGTCTGTGTTGTGTGGTGAAATTACGGTCTTGTACTATCTGTCTCGTTACCCCCATTAGGGAGGTATAATAGAAGTAAATCCATGAAAATAGTTTAAATTGGTATTAAACCGTAGTCTTTTCGTATTTGTACGGCGTTAAAGTTAAATAGGTCAAAATATAAAGGCGTAAATGTGTTTTAGTGGAATATGTTGTCACTTGGTTCCCTCTACCTAAGGAAAGGGCTATAATGAACTGCATATTTGTTCAAGATCTCGTTTTACTTACAATTTCCAAACAGACTATGCAGTCGTTCGCCTACTACAGTCAAAATGATTTGGAACTTATTCCCAGTGACATTTCTGAGTGTTCTTAAAAGCTTGTCCGTGTCGTATAATGTATACTCAATTTTTGTTTGATTTAAATAATTCCGACAGTGGAAGTTTTCAAGCACTACATTAACAAGAAGGAACGTCAGCAATCCATCTGACTGAAGAAATCAATCAAAGAAGTTTTATTACTAAATTCCTGGCGCTCTGTAATAGAGATAGATGTTAAGTGATTGTCACAAATAAACCTTAATCGTTAGTGTAAACTAAAACTGTTGGCTAGAAGAATACACATTTATCATAAAATGTCTGTTTTATGTCAGTTACTATGCTTTTCCTATACTGTCTACCAAAAGATTCAAAATAACCAATAGTATGAATGAGGCAGATAAATTCAAAAATTGGAAGTAAACTGAAGTTTCTCAAGTAATTGCGTTATTTAACTCTACGACTGCATTGAATTCCAACACCACACAATCATTTGGGGGATACCTAGACGCACAATATGCATCGAAACCACTTCAGAATGCATGAATTCACAATCTTGTAAGGTGACTGACCTTTGTCTTCGTCTAGACTTTTGTTTTTAACCTAGTTATTGCTAGTGAAGCAATTCCGCGTCAAAAGAAGAAACTACCAAATACATTCAGTCTTTGCTTTCAATAAGTATTCCATATTTTCAAGGCAAATCATCCATTGTTTTGATTATCCCTCTTTACTTTATCGTCATCAGATCTTATTACTTCTAATAAATTTGTTTAAAATGCATTACATCCATATTATTCAAAGTTTTTATTTACATTCTGTATATTAAAGGTTACATTGAATGCAAATAATGAAAGTGCCAATAATCAGATGATGAGGACAATGACAACATCACCATCAGTATCAACAGTAAACCGACTACCATTAAATATATCAGAATGTAATTTATGGAAAAGGAATATTTCTCATTCATATGATAATGATGTTTATGAGAAAGATGAAACTGCAAATAAATCTAATGGATTGACAGGAACACGTTTACTGCCTATTCGATTACCAGCATTGAATTTTCGAAAACCGCTTATACAAGCCTCATTGAGTGAACAAACTAAAAGTGATTCACCTACTAAAGGTACAAAATACTCTGCGGTAAACAGTTCATTAGAAAATGAAAAGGTGTAAGTCGGTTATTATTATATATTTTTAGAATTTATCATATACTTTTTAAAGAAAAGAAACGAATTCATGTTCATAATCCCCGGCAAAATTAAAGTTCAGTGACATTTTTATTTTTAAACTTGAATGTTTAACAGAAATAATTCTTATTCATACAACCATCTAAATTAACATCTTGTTAAACATTCAAATATTGGCTTGTAGGGATTTGATTGATTGGTTACAGGATTTCATCATGACCTGACATCGTTTAGAGAACCATTGGAAAACCTACTGGGAATATTTGACAGCTGTTTCGTCCTAGTTTGGAACTCTTCATCCGTACGCACCCACCGCCAGGGTTCGAACCCAGAACTTTCTGGTTACTAGGCGAGCTGGTAGACCATCTGGTAGACTACCCCTAAATGCGATAGAAACAAATAATCATTTCAGAGTAAATAAAAGAGTCAATGAATATAATCAGACAAGTTGCCTGCAATCTCTATTTATACAAATAATACTTCAGATTGCATCAAAACTTTCTTCTTTGTTCCGATTTTAATTTTTTTTTCACTCTCTTCGTTACGAGTGAAATATAAGGCTTCAAGCTTTGAAGTTTCATTGGCTGTGGTTTGTTTCTACATAATGGGGTTCGCTAACTTCGCATTCACCTTTCCCCTTTTTTTTCCGAGAATACTACCGAACTGGAAATGTTTAGTTGTGCTTCAGCCGAGAACTGAACCCTAATCTTCAGCGTGACTGTAGAGTATTCTGTCTCTGAAACACCGACGCAGCCCAACCTCATACACTAACCCAAATGCCTTTCACACGGAATTTTGTTTGTCACGGTTGTTGATACACTTATACTTCGTAGAAACTTATTTGGTTGTAACAAAAGTCACTCATTCAATTTATGCTTCACAGACGGTCTTGAAGCAGACAGATTATAAGAAAATTCGTCTATAAAAAAGATTGAATGTTGAGAGATCAAAATATATTCCAGTTCCTTTCAAAAGGCACGAACTAATAACAGGAAAATACAAAAAGATCTAAAGTGAAACTCAACTCAAAGTAAGATTATTAAGGTCACTCAGTGTAAAGGAAGAAGTTCCACAAAAGTCCCCTGAAGTGAGAGTTTAAACTTCGGAAAGTGTATAGCTATTGTCTTAGTAATACACTGGCTTTGTTAAAATGTAAATCTCTTGATCGTTTTAATAAAATAAATTGTGAGGGATTGATTATCCTAATGCAACTAAGTGTTCCTAAACAATCAGTGTTATTGCTCTATTTTCCTCTTTCACAAACTGAACCACTTACTTCTACATAACACCTTTGTAAAAGATTTTCTTTAATTTTTATATATTATCAGTTTCATAGAAATATGTGAATTCATAGAAACACATTGAGATGAATGTAAATTGTAAAGCACCTCATAGACACTGACGTACTGAACACTAGATCGTAATATAAGCAAACGTTATCTAACTTGAATAATATAAAACAAAACACACACATATACACAATCATCAATATTTTCCAACTTTATGTGATTTCTATCACAGGGCAAACATACTTCTCAGTGAACTCATTAAGCCTAACATATTTTGGTAGTTGAGTTGTAATTCTTGATTCTTTGACCTAGATTAATCAGAAGTCAGCACGGTACTTCACACTGACAAATATATATATTTACGGATCGATTCATGAGTTAAGTGAAAGCATAACAACGATATTTACTGAATGATACATCCATCATGTCAGGTGAAAATGTTTAATTTCCGTAGAAGCAAAGAAAGTTCAGAAATGTATGTGAAACTATTACCGGCTCGCATGTTGCTGTTTCGACTTCTCGAAATGTAAGAGAAAATGGAGATGGATCGGGGGTATACATTGAGGAAGTCATCGAATGACATCGCACACCAGGCTATTGCTCGATTGGAATCCCAACGGGAAGCGACGAGTAGGTCGTCGTAAAGTGACAAGGAGAAGATCGTGCGAGTTGGAGGAGATGTTCCACTCGGAACCCAAGGGAATAATAATATAGTGGTAAACTTAGCTTATTTACATAAAAAGTAATCGTAAACTCTTCCTCAAATTATGTTCCCGAATCCCAAAAAAAGGTTGAAACAGCTTTCCTTAGTTACTGAAAAATTTAAGAAAATCATTATTGTGATCAGTTTCACTCGGAAATTGAAAATCTAAAAATTAACGTCAGTGAAGATGAATTTAATTTTATAAAAAATCTCTTGCTTTTTAACTAATTTTAACGAAATAAGACGGATAAAGTTGATCGAATGAATTCCAGTCAGTTATTGTCCTCATCTTCGTGGCGTTTTATAGTATTAGAAAGGTAAAATGGAATTCTCTTCCTTCACTCACATCTTCTAATTGCTGTAGGTGCTGTGTCTTATGAGATATATTATGCAATGGTCAAGTCTCATTGCATTCAAAATCTTCTGAAATCTTTCGACATTGTTCTTGTTAATAATTTAACAATAAAATTTTCTTATCAGTATTACATAATTTAAAAAGAGTAGATTTATATTTGAATTAATGAGTTAACAGTGTATTAGTGAATTTTAACTATACTTCGTTCACCTCCTTTTCATCGTGTCATTTACAATTAGACTTTACACAATTTCGGTTCCTTCTTATTATTTTTGTTATTTTTTTTTATTTTATTTTTATTTATTATTTTTGATTACAGCTTGATTCCATACCGTATTTTTGGTACAAGTATGGAATTTTCAGCGTGGATATCGGTAGCCCAAAATTTGCAGGCCGACCATAGATATCAGGTGTGCGTCAGCGAGGGCTCGAACCCCAGACCATGTGCATGGTCGGCGGGAATCCTAACCACTGTGCCACCGACGCAAATATAAGATCAAACTTATATTCTCCTCAGTATCTTTGTGAAATCAAGCTATAGAGTGTTTGTTCTTGTAGTGTAAATATTCTTATTCCTATTGTATACAATGTTGATCAATAAAACCTTACAGACTAACGGATTAAACAAAGAACCACATATATATATATATATATATATATATATATATATATAGCGATTAAACCACTGAGATTAGCCTATGTTTATTTCCTAAAAAATTGTAACAAATAGTTACATAATTCTTAATAATTTTAAGTCGTGTAAGGTAAGAATTATCTTGTGCAAAATAAAGCATCAGAGTCGCAGTTACGCATACATTCCTGTCTGTCTGTCTGTTTTCGACACAGAACTTTGCACCGATGTGCGACAGTTCAAGTCGCCACACTCCATGTACCACACAAAGCAAGAGATGAAAGTAGAAGAAATGCATATTAGACACAGTAAACAGAGGTGTGAGACAAGGGAATAGTAGTAACGAAGAACAATATAGTTTCATTGGAAATCATAAGTCACAAGGAGTGGATGCATCTGCGCCAGCCATTGAAAACAATTTTGAACCATGTCACCAATTGTTTCCAGCCACTGGTTTTTACCGTCCGAGAACCCCAACCAGGAAGTCTACACCTTCCTACGTGGCTGGCTGGCTGGCTTAGACTAACTGTTGTAGATTTCATTGACTGGTTCGGCCATGTTTTTGTTTGACCTCCGCTAGCTCTCTTCCAGCCTGACCCTATGTCAGGTAACATTGCCCGTCGAGGAAGGCGATGACTAGGCATACATAACTGATATGTATCCACATATATATATTTATGTGTGTGTGTGTATGTTGGTCTCTCTTTATGTTTGCTCGCTTAGTCTGTGACCATTTCACTTGTATGAACCTGTCTCCTTTAACAATGTATATTCCCCTTATATTATATATAATATGAGTGTTTGTTGACAGTCCGTTGCTTGGTGACATATATCCATATATGGTGGCTGTTGACATGTCTGCTATATTTTGCTATATATATATTTCGTTCTCACAATTTGTGTGACTGACTTACACTTACTTACTACTTGGTGTGATACCACTTATTGCTTCTCCTTGTGTTTGGAAAATAGAAGTATCATCGCAAACCTAGTGGTCTTCTGATTTCCGCCTTCTTGCGTCAGGACTATTAGTTTCTCGACCAGTCCATAACAATAATTTAGTGACGAGTACATAACAGTAACACATGTCCTAACCATCTCAGTCGATGTAATTTCACAGCCTCGTCGATTGATTTCCCCTCCTTACCTATCACTCGCATACATTTAGTCATATTCAACAATGAGTACCTAAGATATGTATGAGTTAGTACTCATAAGTGTCTATATTCTATCTCCCATGTTAGGTGGTATAATGGGGTAAGTGATATCGACGCTAGGCGTCGAGTGTTATGTAAGGAGAGAAAGTCAATCGATAAGGTTGTGAGATGAATCGACTGAGATGACTAGGCATGCTTAACAAATGTCCTAGTCATCGGGTTCCTCGACAGGCAATGTTAGCTGACATAGGACGAGGTTATAAAATAGCTAGTGGTGATCAAACCAAAACATGGTTTCATTAGTCCATGGAGCCTTTAACAGTTTGTTCGAGCCACAGAGGGTGGTGTAGACTTCCTGGTTGTAGTCTTCAGGATGGTAAGAACCAATAGTGATATAGCTCGAAATAGTTCTCAATGACTATTGTAGATGTATTCAATCTTTGTGATCTGACATATCCAATACAGCCCAATTATTTTTCCATGTTATTATTCCTTCTCCACATTTCTGGTTATTTTATCATTTCTTCGAATCGCTTTTTCTTCTCTTTTGTCTTCCTTTATATGCCACTTGGAGCGTAAGAAATTGAACTGGTCAACTTCTGTGGAAATACTTATATGTGATGCAAATAATTTCAGTTACTTAACTTTAGTTTTTTTTCTTTTGTCACATTACAACTTACTTTAAACACTTTAGAAAAGCATACAGATAAGATGCACAAACTTAAATCAAGGCCTGTCAATAACGGGGGATGTTTGTTTGAAGAAAAATTGCGTCAGTGGTTCAGCGGTAGAACACTAGTCAACTACGCACGTGGTTCAGGGTCTGACCCCCGGTCGACGCTCTCTC